GGATGCAGAAAGGACACCCCAGCCTGTTGCATCACAGGGAAGGAGCTCACCGAAGCCCCTGGCTCCCTTCCCCGCCCTCGACCCCAGACCTGGGGTGTGCGTGGGTTGGGTGGCGTTCTGCTCCCTGAGGCCGCTGGCTCTGGGGTCACCTTCACCCTTGACTCCGAGTCCAGATCCTTCCCAGCTCCCACAGCAGAGGGGTGGCCTCCCTGAGGCCGGCAGGTTGAAATTCTGCCCGGTGCCCAGAGCTCCTTGCTGGCCTTTCTCTCTCCCAAAGCCTGGAGCTGCCCTGGCAGGGAAAACAAGCACAGCCCGAGGTTTTCAGGGCCATGAAGCTGTGTGCTTGATACTGGCATGGTGGACACATGTGGTACATCTGCCAAAGCCCACAGAATGCACAGAGCAGGGACAGTGTCGTGCAGTGCAAGCTGTGGACATGGGGTGACATGTTGTGTCCTGGCACATCCCTCCTTGGTAGCATGTGCACTCCTTGATGGGGGATGCTGGTGGGTAATGCTGTAGAGATGGGGTGTGGGAAACGCTGTGCTTTAGCTTTAGTTTTGCTGTGAACCTAAAACTGCTCTTAATTTTTTTTTTTTTTTTTTAGACAGGATCCCACCATGTAGCCCAGGCTGACTTCAAACTCATGGAGATCCTCCTGCCTCAGCCTCCCAAGTGCTGGGATCACAGGTGTGTGCTACCACACTCCGAATGCTCTTAATTTTTTAAGGCTATTAAAAATGTATTTCAGTCAATCATGGTGGTACACACGTATAATCCCAGCACCCTGGGAGGCTGAGGCAGGACGATAGCAAGTTCAAGTTCAGCCTGGGCAACTTAGCAATTTAGGGAGAATTTGTCTCAATTTTTTTAAAGTTTTTAAAATGCTGGAGATGTAGTTTAGTGTGAAGGCCCTGGGCTTAATCCCTGTATGGAAAGATAGATAGATAGATAGATAGATAGATAGATAGATAGATAGATAGATAGAAAGAAAGATAGACAGATAGATGGTATAAAACTGACTATATTGGGCTGAGGATTTAGCTCAGTGGCACTACACTTGTCTCACACGAGCAAGGTCCTGAATTCCATCTCTGGTTCCAAAACAAAAAAACAAAACAAATGAACAGCAACAACAAAAACTGACTATGTTAGAACACATCACACAAAGTAAGTATTGTGTGGTGAAATTTCTTTTTACAAATTTTATTTCATTCCCATTTAGAATCAGCCTATGATGAGTTCCTCCAGAGCAGGAAGCTGGGGCTCTGAAAGCTTGGATGATAACAATGAAGTCTGTTTTTGTAAGGTCCTGTGCACCAAGCACCCTCAGAGTGTTTGGAGATTTCCCACTGCGTCCCCAGGGGCTGTGGCCCGAGGCCTGCCAGGCCTGAGTGCAAGGCGCCGCCCCACATTCACCCCCACTCCATCGTCTTCCAAGCTTGTTCACTCCAAGCTGCTCTCTGTTGTCTCTGCCGCTCCGCAGAGCAAAACCCAGATTGCATCGGCGTGAGCTTAGTGGGTTTTCAAAGCCGTGCATTCCACCACGTATTCAAATATTTATTGCACGCCCATGGCGTTCACGCGCCACACCCCGCCCGGGGAAGGGGACAGAGCTGTCCTCCGTGGAGAAGACGCTGGTGTCAGGGAAATAGCAATCACCAGGCCATTACCTGTGGAGACTGGTGGCCCAGGGGTGCACTGCCTGCATCCCCCGACAGGGGGCGCTGAGGGCCCTTCTGGCTCACTGGGTGGAGAGTGGTGCCTGGTGGAGACCCCTCAGTGAGTGAGTTCCACTGCCACCCCTTGGCACCCTCGCTCCTGCGTGCTTCCAGAATCCGGAATCTGAGCCTCCCGGGTCCAGAGAGGCTGCTGTGATGTAGCCGTACCCAGTTGTCACCCACGGAGGTGGCCAGGTGCTGACACGGCGAAGTCGACTCCTGAATTACACAACTGTCCCACGAGAACAGCACTGGCCGGAGCAGGCAGAGGCGGGAAGGAGGGGAAACTGAGCCACGGCCTTCCCTGGAGAAGGCGGGAGGGGCAGTGGCGCATTGGCAGTGACTGGTGGTCTGTCGGCTCGGGATGGCGGTGGTGGCTCCAGGGCCTCGGTAGCTGCACAGGGGAGGACTGGACTAGGACAGCTCGCCGAGCCAGGCCACAGCCCCTGCTGTCTGAGACCGGCACCCACCGGGCAGGTGCTGTCTCTCCGCAGAAGCCAGAGCATCAGGAATACTGGAAATAAGACAGTCTGGCTCCTGCGGCACTGGCATGGTTTGGCTGGGAGGAAATATGGTTAGGACAGCTGGAGGCTCAGCCCTGAGGAGCTGGGGTGTGATGGAGCCTGGCGGTCGAGGGCCTTTTGCTGCCTCTGGGAGCAGGGGACTCACGGCCTGGTGTCACAGACACACAACACAGAAGGTCGAGGGCGCCGGGAAGTTGGAACCCAGCCAGCACTTCCCCCAGGTCACCGAATGAGTGTGATTAGAAATGGAAGAAGCCAGGTGTGGTGACTCACACCTCTAACCCCAGCACTCAGGAGGCTGAGGCAGGAAGATTGCCACAAGTTTAAAGTCAGCCTGAGCTACACAGTGAGACCCTGTCTCAACAAACCAAACCAAAAATAAATAAATAAATAAAAGGAGAGGGAAGAGATGGGGTGACTGATGCAAAGCTCCGCAGAACAAGAGGTGGTGCAAGGCACAGCTGGAAGGGGCGGCCCCAGCACCACTGGTGGGGGAGCTGAGCTGGCCCTCACAGCCCTCAGTTTGCCTGGCTGTAGAATGGGTGGGTGGGCTTTACACATTTACACAAGGCCATCAATGACCAGGAGGGAGAACAGAGGGGCGGCTCCCCTGTGTGTCAGGGGTGCAACTCAGGGTGCAGCTCAATCTCTGGTGTACAATGACTGCAGGAGACACACTGCGCGTGGGGCTGGGCCCCCTGCTCGTTCGCCCTGAGTCAGCTCTGCACTGGGTGCCGTGCATGGGCCTGAGTCTGTAGTGCAGGAGACAACAGCACCTGTGATGGGTGGAGGCCTTGGCCAGCCCCAGGAACCCGAGAATAGACCAGGAAGCCCCGCCCTGTCCCTGGGAGCCTGCGGGATGAGCACTCTCACCTGCCTGCCTACCCAGAAGACCCAGCCACTGTGTTGTCCAGCACTTGAAGTGCCGTCAGTGAGCGGAGGAGCTGCCTACTCAATGAGATTTGATTTTAACAGCTTTTTAAAGCTAGAACAGCGAGGTGTGGTGGCGTACACCTGTAATCCCAGCATTGGGAAGGCTGAGGCAGGAGCATCAGCAGCAAGTCCGAGGCCAGCCTGGGCTCCATTGTGAGTTCAAGGCCAGCCTGAACTACATAGCAAGCCCCTGTCTCAAAAATCAGAGAGAAAGAATGAATTTGCATGCCATACTCTGGACTTGTGTTCACCAGACAACCCAGGGTCTGTAAGTGTATTCACTGGGTTGTTCAGCCCTCGACACTATGTAATTTAAGAATATTTTTGGGCCAGGGATTTGGCTCAGTGGTTCTACTGCCTGCCTGGCAAGTGCAAGGGCCTGAGTTCAATGCCTGGTACCAAAAAAAAAAAAAATTTTTTTTCATTGCCTCAAGAATAAACCTTGTACAGCTGGGCGTGGTGGCATACACCTGTAATCCCAGCACATGGAAGGCTGAGGCAGGAGGATCACTGCGAATTCAAGGCCAGCCTGAACTGCAAAGCAAGACTGTATCTCAAAAACAAAAAACAAACTAAAAGAATAAGTCTTGTACCTTCTAGCTGTGAACCCCAGCCTCCCAGCCCAAGCAGCTACTAGTCTGCTTTCTGTCCACAGCTTTCCCTATTATATTTGGGATATATCAGATGAGTGAAATCCATAGCATGTGACTTTTGTGACTGGTTTCTTTCACACTCCATGCTTTTAAGGTTCAACCATGACGTAACCGTGTATCCATGCTCTATTACTTTTTGTGACTGAAGAATAATCCATTACATGGATAAATAACGTTTTGTTTCTAGCCCATTGTGACCAGTGGCTGCCATATTGAGCAGGTCAAGTAGAAATAGGGAATGTGGGAAGTAGGCTGGACCTCCCAGGCTGCCATATTGAGCAGGTCAAGTAGAAGTGAGTGGTGAGAGGAGTGGGCAGGACCTCCCAGGTAAATAAAAGGGAAGCCACCCAGGC